AGTATCAATAGTAGGTGCTGCTCTTTCACAACTGCTACTTCTGGGACCCTTAGACACAGAGCTCTTTTACCTCTTCTAACAGTTAACCACCCCTCCTTATTCTAGTTAACAATTTATCATATTAAATTTTCAAATAACCTGTATAGTTGTCTCTCCTGACTGAACTCAGACTACTCTCAAGGATATTTACTGTACAGCTTGTCTGTATGTTTGACAATGTTGGGGGAGGGAGGAAACAGGGAGATATATTTTAAAAGATTGGCAGAATGTTGATAATTGTTGAAGCTGGATGATGGACTGAGAAAATTATACTGTCTCATTTTGTTTATGTTTGTTATTTTTTGTAATAGTTTTTAAAAGTGGAGGGCGGGGAAGAAAGGCTTCATATAGGCCAAAGCATTTGGAGAGAGCCTGGTGGAATGGATTTTGACAGGCATAAATGGAGGCCTAGATTCCAGGTGAGAAAAAGCACACAGTGAAAATGGCAGCAGAATACTGAAGGACATATTTGAGCAATAGCAAGTAAGCTGGCTAAAGTAAAGGTGTATAATGCAATTGAATGTTTGCTGAGATTTTTTTTTCCTCCCCTTTAACCTTCATGTCAAGGTGTTAGTTCTTCATACTCAATTGCTTTTTTTTCCCCTACTCTCCTGTCCCTACCCCATGCTTCTACTTACTATCCAAAGTCTAGCTCTTACCCATTCTTCCCCACCTCTTATTAATCATAAATTGATCCATTTCAGAGTCTTTTCATATATCTTTATTTTTTTAAACAGTGGGCGTAATTATATCTGTCTTTGGACACATTTAGGAGAAAATATAGGTATGTTTGTGCTTATATAGCAGTATTTTTTACATGTAAAGCCATTAGCAGTGAAATGAGACAAGTTTTCATAATCTCTAGTTAGTAGAGGATAAGAGAAAACATTAATTGATTTACTATTATTTAATAACTCGTGACTTTTTATAATCGCAAAATACACCTCTACATACAAGAATGAGTATGCGTGTGTCAACACATTATCTCCGGGAAGGGGTTGGTAATATTCTTTGTTAAGCTGAGTAGTGAACTGACCAAATAATAAAATTAATACCCATTATTTTCTCCACCCACCAATACATTTAAAGCACCCTTAGGCTATTCTCCAGTGACAACTCTCTCTGTCCTTCCTTAGGAATGACAAAAATCATAAAATGTGACTTACAAAAAACATTTTTGCTTAATCCAAACTGAAAATATTATAAAGTATAAAAGCAGCTAGAAATTTAAGAACTCATAATAGAGATAACATCAGAGAGAGCACATATATCCAAATAAAACATATATTATGATGATTCATAAAAAGCGCATATGAATATGGACCTGTTGCACACATTAAAATATATAGACACCCCAACGGAGCTCCTTTCTCTCCTAACCCCCATTATTGGTAGGGTCTGAACCTACCATTCTATTTCAGGCTTCAACAAGTGGCACATGCTCTTCCACCTATTTAGAATGTGGCGGGACATAGGTATTCCAGAACAGTAGAGAGCAGAAGAGAAATGTTGTTCGATGTCATTCAGGCGATGACTATGCTTTCCTATGCCCTCCTGAGGATGCAGTGCTGCGGATGCTAAGTTTCATTCAAGATCTAGGACAATGCATTGTTTGTAAACTTTGCACACCAAAACTGTCAATGTGAGTTCTTCCAGAATAAATCAGCAATGGTTAAGACAAGAATTGGGTTTCTTTCCTGCCTGGCACAGGACTCTTCCTGTGTAGTCAGTATCACAGACAGCAATGCACTCCATAGGGTACCCATGGGCAAAAGAAATGCCTCCACAAAGATATGCAGCAGCTGCTCCTGCTCTAGATGATGCAACGCACTCAATAAGGTACCAGGGGCAAAAGAAATGCCTCCACAAAGATATGCTGCAGCTGCTCCTGCTCTAGATGACGTCTTGCTTCCACTAAGTTCTGGCAGCCATGCAACAGAACTTTCTGCGATAATGAAAATGTTTGCTAGTCTATCACATGTGGCTATTGAGCACTTGAAATGTAGCCAGTGTGACTGAGAAACTGTATTTTTAAATTAATTTTTATTGACATAGAGTTGACATATGTTAGTTTCAGGTATACTACAAAGTGATTTGATATTTGCATACACTATGAAGTGATCATCATAATGAGTCTAGTAACAATCTGTCTCCATACAAAGGTATTACAATATTATTGACCATATTCCTAATGCTGTATATTACATCCCCATGGCTTATTTATTACATAACTGTAGGTCTGTACATCTTAATCCCTTACACCTATTTCATCCACTCCTCTATCCCTATCCTTCTGGCAAACACCTGTTTGTTCTCTGTTATCTATAAGTCTGTTTTGTTTCATTTGTTTTGCTTTTTACATTCTATACATAATTGAGAGCATGTGGTATTTGTCTTTCTCTGACTTACTGCACTTAGCATAATACTCTCTAGATCTATCCATGTTGACAAAAATGGCAAGATTTCTTTTTTTTATGTCTGAGTAATATCCATATACCACATCTTCCTTACCCATTAGTCTATCAGTGTATATTTAGGTTGCTTTTATATCTTGGCTATTGTAAATAATGCTGCAATGAACACTGGAGGTGTTTTTGAATTGGTTTTTCTGTTTTCTTTGGGTAAATGCCCATAAGTGAAATTGCCAGATCATATGGCAGTTGTATTTTTAATTTTTTAAAGAAACTCCATACTGTTTTCCATAGTGGCTGCACCAATTTACAATCTCACCAACAGTGCTTAGCAGTATTTTTTGGTTAAGCCTCCTCATGCAAGGGAAACGAAAACAAACAAATGAGACTACATCAACTAAAAAGCTTTTGCACAGCAAAGGAAACCATCAACAACACAAAAAGGAAGCTTACTAAATGGAGAAGATATTTGTAAACAATATATCCAATAAGGGGTTAATATCCAAAGTATATAAAGAACTCATATAACTCAACATCAAAAAAACAAACCCAAACAACTCAATTACAAAATGGACAGAGGACCTGAATTGAAATTTTTTCAAAGAAGATGTACAGATGGCCAAAAGACACACGAAAAGATGCTCAATATCACTAATCATCAAGGAAACGCAAATCAAAATCCCAAGGAGACACCACCCTCACACCTGTACAAATGGCTGTTACCAAGAAGACAACAAATAACAAGTGTTGCTGAGGATATAGAGAAAAGGGAACCCTTGTATGCTACTTTTATTTAATTTTTATTAATTTAAATGTAACAGCCACGTGACAATGCAATTCCAAAGCCTTAGTTTTAAAAAAAAAAAAGCAGGGACTTAACACATGTATGTTTGCAAATTGTTGAATGTCAACCCAAAACACTACCTGCAACACTGCAAAGTGGTTCTACCTCCTCCTACCCTAGCTGCCTGGCAGAAACATCCATTTGTCCTCATTCAGACAGCACCTCCTTTGTGAAACTGTGGCAGCCCAGAGTTACTAACTTGTTACCTAACTATTACTAACCAGGTCACACCATGTTGTCATTATGGGTTTACATATCTGTGTTCCCTGCTAAACTGGGGCTCTAAAAAGGCAGCAGTTGTGTATTATTAACTTCTGAATCCCCAGAGCCTAGCAGAATGCCACATCCTAAAATCCTTGCTCTATTATCACACCAGTCTTCATTTAGCCAATCCATACTCTTCAATTTATCACACCAGTCTTCATTTAACCAATTTATCACACCAGTCTTCATTTAACCAATCCATACTCTTCACTGCTCTACCATCTGAAATCTCATAATCCCACCATCCATAATGAACATCTTAGAACTGGAGAAATTACAGGTCATATTATCTGTACCAACGGGTGTGGTGTTTTACTTCTACATACAATTGCTCAGTAGAAAACACTGTAAAATAGTGGAAACGATGCATATTAGAAACTCAAGTTTTCTAAAGAGAAATAATGAGAAAGTAGTTAGACACAGGAATTTGGAATTCAGGACGAGACACAAATTTGGGAGTTTTTGACATAGAAGTGGCATTTTGAAACTATGCAACTCATGAATTAGATCACTAAGGGATTAAGTGTAGACAGAAGAATACAGGCACTCCAAGGTTAAGAGGTCAGAAGTGAAAAAGAACTTGCAAAGAACACTGAGAAGGGGCAACCAGTGACATACAGGAAAACCAGGAAATATGCTGAGAGCCACGTGAATAGTTATTCAAGGAGGAGAGAGTCATTAAGCTATGATAAATGCTATTGATAGATCAAGTTGGAAAGTAAGGTTCTATTTCTTTCACACAATAGCAAACCCTCCAAAACTGAAGAGAAAAACTGAAAGATATCACTTGGCATTCAATCACCAGTGTAACCAGAAGTTACACCAATGTTTTCTAATATAGATATTTCTTTCATTTCATTACACATATGCTATTCCAGATCACTGCATCTTCCTCATATCTTAACATCCACATGAAACAAGGTTTCAGTGAGCACAATTTTCCTGGGCAGCACTAATTTTAAACGAAAACCTCGTTATTTTACCAGCTGAGACTGACTGAAATAACCAGTGTCTCCCATTCAGCTGCCACGCTTTCCTTAGAAATGCAGGTTTGGCATAATTTAAAGGTCAAGATGGTTTAAAGAGCATTCAGTTTCCAAAAAAGAACGGACAAAAGTGTCAACATTCACGGAAGACTTCGAGAAAAAGTTAGACTGTGAACTCCAGGAAGGGAGGGGCTCATTTCCCACAAAGCTGGAGCTCAATATTTTTCACTTAACTTGAAAAAAGCTGTATCTTACTGCGGGGAGGTGGCGTGAACTTCAGGGCACTACGCCATCCAGAACACTGTTGCCCGAACACTATGCACGCAGAGAGGGACCGGCGAGCTCGCGGGCATCCGCGAAGATCAGCACCTGGGTCGATAAACGCAACGCGAGACGGCGCACAACCGCACACCGGACCCTAAGGTTGAAAGACCCTAGCCTCGGGCGGGGACTCACCTGCCTCCGGAGTGAAGATGTGCGGCCCCCGGCCGTCTCTGAGGGTGCGTCCCTGCAAACCCCTCACCGCGTCACTGGACACTACCGGGCCCCGGTGAAGAAGGACACGTGAAGACGCTGCGCGTTCGCTCGGTCGCCTAGGTTTCTGAGCTGCAGCGCCACGGATCCCTCAGGTACTCCTCAGCGGCCCGTGCGTGCGCGCGCTCTCCCACCTCGTCGCTTAGCAACCTGCGAAGCCGTCCAGTCTTCTCTACACTTCAATTCCTCCCGCCCCCGCAGACTGTGAATAGTTTTAAAAAAGATTTTGTTTCCGGGTCGAATCGGCTTTACGCAGCGGAAGGTCTCTTTACCTCCCACGTTTACCCTTGAGGGGAGGATAAAGTCTTAGCAGCTTACGGGAGAGCGCTGGAGCTAAGGGCTCTGTCTCTCCCCCCTCGAGTTACACACGCCTCCCCTTTCGCCAATTGTTAGGCGCCATCCGGTAGGTCCTTTTTTCCTAAGCCCAAATCCTCCGCTCGTCGCCGTCCTCCAATCACAGCGGCCCGCCCTCGGGAACTACTTTGCAATCGACGAAGAGCGCAAGGAGCAGGGCGTGAGAAGACCATCTGACCTCGGGAAGTGTAGTTCAACACTCGAAGGAAATGCATTGGAGATTGCGCCAGAATCAGGGCTGCTTAAACTACAGTTCCCAGAGGGCTCCGCAGCCGGGAGCCGAGCCTTTTCTTTCTAACATCACTCGCCTTTTCCGAGTCGGTTCCACGATAGAGGTGACCGGACTCCCTGAAGCTCATTTTGCAGGTGCAGAAAAGTGTCCGCGCAGTTCCCAGTCATGGTGAGTGTGGGCCTGTGCATGCTGCCCACCTCCGACCTTCGCGCCCGTGTGTGGAGTTTCTTGCGTTTTAAGGACTGTTGGGGGAAGGCTGTGCAAGGGATTGTCCTTCGCGCCCTTTGGAAAGCCCCGACTCATCTTCTGGGGACTGTCGCAGGGACCCGGTAATTGGGAAGGGGTTGATTTACAGCTGGGGGTTTTTAGAAGGACTTTAGAGACATCTCTGTCCTTGGAGAGGCGCGATCTCAGTCCTTCTGCATGTTGGGGGTACAGAATACGAAGCTGCGGATTTTCTCCAAAGCACGGTATAGGGGTTTGAGAAGGACGATAAGGTTTGAAATGAGAGGGGGTGTTGGACCCTAAGCTCTTTTTCTCCTCTTAAGCCCACAGTGTTTTTAAGGGCTTTTGTCACAAAGCCCTTGAAAGCAGAAGGCCCTCACTGCAAAGGTAGTGCTTACCAGATGCTCGGGATTGCGATCTACGTTTTCGGGAGAAGTGTTTCCGCCATATCTAATTTCACGAAATGTTATTTAAAACCTGTTCATTGATCTCCTTTCGTCGTACCTGGACATGTTGCAGTTACGGTGCCCCTATGCAAATAATTAGTGCATTTTTTTTTACTGATCTGTGTGTTAGGAATTCTAGAACCACTACTTTTAAATGTTACACAATAAAACCATCGTGTCATGAAGCTTTGGATACCAAGATATGGATATCTTGTCTCTGCTGAAAGGGAGAAGGGAGGTTGGTGAGGGTACTGACGTAGGAATAATCAGCATGCTGTTTGAAGGTGACATTTGACATCAAACTGAGAGAAATTGCTTCAGTACTGTATTTGTAGTTGAAACTGTTTTTCCTCTGTTATTTCAAAATACTAAAATGAGTGGGGAATGTGGGAAAATATTTGAAGGAATTGGAACATTTCCAGAACCTGAAAAGACGTGTTTTCAGGGCAAGGGGATTACTTCTTCCACCTTCATAAGGGAGCCAGTGGGGACAGCTTCTAATTCTCAGTAAGTGTTAAACCTAGGTTTCCTACTTATTTTGTCAGATAACATAATTAGTCATTTAAATGATGGTTTCAGTGGTTTCTGACCTAGTAATCTTAGCAAGAAAGCAGAGGTACTTATTATCAGAGAACCTCAGACTTAATAATTTTAAAACTGGATGTAACCTTTTAAAAAAAAATCTTGACCATCTTAAAATTGAGTTTATTGAAACCGAAAAAGAATGTGATTTGCTCAAGGTCATACAACAGTTTGCCCCCAAGGATCTCGCATACTTTCCATTTTACCATATTGTATCATTCAGACACATATCAAGTCATTCTGAAAATTTATTTTTAGTTGCTGAGGTTCTGGATGAAGATACAAGCTCATACTGCAAATACAAACTAAACTATGTATCAGCATTTATATTACTTGATGGTTTTACAATGAGAATATTGTAATTCTAGAATTGGAAGGGAATTTGGAAATTATTTCTTCTAATCTTAAAACATAACCTGGTGAGGTCAAATGATTTTCCCAAGGTCACAGAAAGCTCCTGGGCCCCCATTCTTGCTTTGTTTTTCTACACCGTATATCAAGCCAGGCCTCACCCCAGGAAGGTCACTCCAGCACCAAATAATGTCCATGAGGAAGAACCCTCCTGCCATTTTGCTGAAACTGATGGCAAATTCTCACATGACTCAGTCTCCTTGCCTCCTCAGGAGAGTGTGTGAACAATCACTGAGTTAGAAAAGAACCATCTTTTGTAAGCTATTAAAATCAGGTTTTTTTCAAGGAGTCAATTCTTTCCTTGTGTCCATAGGGAATGACAAGCAAGAATAAACTGTATGAAGGAATCTGAATACTGTTTGTCTTTTATATTACAGAAATATATATAAATGAGAAAGTAAAAAAGGAACACATGGGTCTTTCTGTAGAATAACAGAAGGAACACTTAAATTCAAGCTTTACAACTGAGACTTGAACACATGCCCAAGACAGAGCCTGCATCTGCACGAAGGTCATTAGTGCCCTGCCAAGAGCAAAGACATTCCTTCCTTGGATCTTGGCAGACTGCCCAGATATCTAAGCAAAGAATAGTAACCTATCTTCACACTGTAACATTGTGAAAATGTCAGTGGGAATCTCCCACCCTCCTGCTTTTCTACTGCAACGTTGCAAAGAGCAGACAGAACCAAATAGGCACGTCTTTCCTGTTTCATCACCAGACATTTCAGACACTGGGCTTCATACTACTCTTAACAAGATGGAATCACCTACCTGTGAAAATAATTTGCTCAGTGATAGAGAAGAAGGAAACTGCTCAGGTGGAATTTGTGCCTTTTCATTAGTTGCCCACAACCCCTTCACTAGGGACTGTGGTACTTTGAACCCATTTTTTTAGTAGCTAAAATAAATGCCTAAAATTGACTATTCTTTTCTAACCATCTACCTGACTTTCTGGGAGGTTAAGCTTTACAGATAGTAATGTTTACTTTTCCCCTCATTGCTTATCCTAGCTTGCTTTCATTGAAGTAGCATGTGTTTATGCTTTTCTTAACTCTAACTTTCCTTCATTCAACAAATCCTTGCTGAATGCTATATGGGAGTGCAAATTTGAGTCAGAGGCAGACTGTTCTCCTGGAAGTTTCACAGTCTAGTGGAGAGTAACAGCCTCAGGCTACAAGAGTCCTTAGAGGAAAAACCTGAGACCTATAATTATAGTGCTTGCTACGTACTGTTCTTACTGCTTTGTATGTTCTTACTGCTTTGTATGTTCTTACTGCTTTGTATGTTAACTCTCTCAATCCTTATGACTACCTTATTTGTCAGGTAGCTGCTATTATTATCTCCATTTTACTATGGAGAAACAATACAGTAACTTGCCTAAGAACATACAGCTGAGTTGAGGAATCAGGATTTGAACCAGAAAGTGTGGCTCTAGAGGCCATCTCTTTAACTGTCACACTCTACTGCCTCTCTAGCCCCCTGTTTTAAAAAAATTGGCTTATCCTCTTGTTTCTTGCATACGGTTCACTAATGGAGTCTCTGGCCTAAAATAGTACAAGTTATGTAATAAAAGAAGACTTTCATTAGAACTACTGACATAAATAATTTGGTAACCATAGCTGGAACTATTGTCATTATTTCCAGCCTTCTCAATGCAAGTATATATGAATAAAACAATTTTTTAAAGCATGTTGGGTTTGCTTCCAAACAATTCTTCTACATTTCCAAGGTTTTGATAGTAATTTTACAAGCTCCAGCAAATATTTGAGATTTAGCAAATGTTTGAGCTCTAACTACATGCCAGGCATTGTTCTAGGCAGCTGGGATACAACAGTAAATAAAGTAGACAAAGCCCCTGTCCTTAAAGAGCTTGCATTCTAAAGAGGGAGGGGGAATCATTTCTTCCTCTATTTCTTTTTCCTCACCTGCTATACTTCAAGGAAAGAGGGGAAAATGACAGAATTTAAAACATGTAAAGACCATGTGATAGAAAATAAATATATACAATAACAGTGCTCTTTATAAACCTAAAGTCTATTTGGGAACATAAATATGTATTGTATTAAAATTGGATTATTGGGGGAATTATCGTATTTTGTATATTTAGAGATATTAAAGCATAAGGGGAAGTTGGTGAAGAGTATGGACAAGAGACCCAGAAGGTCAGGAAGAAACTCCATAGTTTTTTCCCTTTTTCTCCACTCTCACCCTGGTCACCTCTCTGAAGAAGAAACACATACATAGTCTGCTGTGTTCAGATGCATTTCTCTACAACAGTTGACACTTTCCTGAGACTGTTCTTCCTCTGAATTCTATGGGTACCAGATTGCTAAGTGCTGCTGACCTCCAGAGGTTAGGGTTTGAAGGTTAGAAGGAACCTTCAGGTCATAGTCTCCTATCCTAGAAGCATGACCCCTCTCTAAGAGGGAATTCTAAATATAAAGAAATCTAATCCTCTATCCCCAGTCACTTCAGCCACTTCTCTAGTGTGGGTAACTATAGAGGTGACACAGAGTGGAAGTACATTTAACCAGTATTGTCAGAGAAAGGAACAATTCCCTTGATTGAATTTTTCCATCTAATTAAACTTACCCATTAAGTTTCCAGGCATTTTTGTTCAGCTCTTTTTAATAGAAATATTTCTATCTTTTTAATTCTCTGAGCTTAATTTAACTTATTTTTAATGACTCAGGGTCATCACTTTGAATTAGTTATATATATTTTTTGTCCATATGTTCATATTTTATTCAGGGTCTATAAGATGACTTCCATCTATTATAACTAATATGTTCTTTGTACTTTTTCCCCTTCCTCTCCTTTAATATTAATTTTCCCTTAAAATCAGGTTGTTAACTGTTACCACACGTTGTTACTGTTATTTATTAATGCTAAAATTTTTTACAATCCAGATATTAACATTTTTTCATTTTTCTTTCTCCTTAAATAAATATAAGCTTATTTTTTCTTCCTCCAAGTAAAGTTGAATCACGATTAATAGTTTTATAAAAACTTTCTGGCTCCTTCTAAATGGAAATTTTTAACCGCTATTATTCCTCTTCCTGGTGTGAAGGATTCTTTTCAGCAGAAAGGAGTGGGGGATTTGCATAAGAGGATTTGTAAGGTTCTAGTGGCCGCCAGGGTTTGTATCCT